CGCGAGACGAAACCCGAACTCCTCCAAATTAAATCGAAGTTGATTGATTGGTTTTTCAAATGGAGCGAGCGCTTGTTAATCTCGTTACTGTATTGTGATTAATAGGACACGGATCAGACAGTGACTAATCGAAAAGTATCACCCAATACTTTGGATGGAGTGGAGTGAAGTTCACAATCACTTGCTATTTTAAAATTTAATATAACTATAATACTAACACTGTTATCATATTGAGGGGTGAAAGGATATTTCGTATAAGCGACTTTTTGTCATTTAAAGTTTAAAGTTTGGATAAAATACAATAACAAAAAAAAACTTCCTTAGCTATTTGAATGGTGTAAACTTAATTGAAGTTCAATTAAAAACATCAAACTATTGATGGTAATACCAAATCAAACGGTCCTTTGATTGTAAAGATAAATGTCGCGTGTTAAGCGAAGTATCGGTTAAACCGAATAGCCTTTACCCCTCTATATAATGTAGTCCTCTAGTGGAGAGCACATATCGGCAAGCGCAGTGTGGGACGACCACCTACCAGATAGACCGACTACCTAATGAAATTCGCAGGGTCACGTTCTGTGTCGGGTGCCGGGTGCGGGGGTGCCCGGTACTCGGCTGTCGGTCCGGTGGTGAGGCGGCGCAAAGTGGCTCCCGTGCACCGCTCACGGTGTGTGAGACGACGTCCTGCGGGATTTTCCGGGGATGGAGCCCCATCCTATTATCAGGATGGGTACCGGCGACGGCGAGCCTTCGGCGCGCACTGTGCGGTACCGTGGGTTTCGTGGAGTCGGAGTGGTGGGGCTCGATGGGGTTTAGTCGGTAGTCGGTTTTGCGGGGTAGCTCTTGCGTGGCTGACGCCGTGCAATGCCTCGCGCGCCTTGCTCAAGGCGTAGTCTCCCGGCAGGAATTGGAAGAAGAGGAGGACCCCTGTCTTCTTCTTCTCCCTGTTCTTCTCTGGAGGCGCCGGAGTCCGACATAACCCGGTCTTTTAACCCCCTCGACCCGGTAAAAAAAGGGTCACGTTCTATTCAGGTGCCAACGGACCGGCCGCACTGGAGATCAATTGAAGAAGCTTATATTCACCAGTGGACAAACTGAGATGATGCCGTTGATGACTCATATTAAAATACTAATACTGTTTATATACTGTAATACTGTTAAAATACTAATACTAATACTGTACGCGCTGGGATTCGAGATTAATACAATTCCACCAAAGTACAACTAAAAAACTGTATTCAACACTTAGAACACTTTAAACACTTCACAAACTCTTTAAAACTCTCAATTCCCTTGCGCTTCGCTTCAGGTGATCCGTTCGCTGTTTCGTACTTTGCTTTCGTGCTTTTATAGTCGATACCTCATCCCTAGAATTATCAAGGATATTTCACACATCTCTAGTATTGTTTCCGCTATCTGACAATAGATGGCGTTGTACTTCTCGAGCGTTCTAGGTGCTACTAGATCCTTCGATATTCGTTCGACTATTCGGCGATAGATGGCGTTACTCTCACCGGCGTAACAATACTAATATTGAGAGAGAGGATACACTTTCAAAAACAGTCAAAAAGCAGTTAGATTTTTATAATAGGCGTGTAATACTAATTATAAAACTGCTGGCCGCGGTCATGAAGCATCCGTAGCTTAAAGATGTTATATGGATGTAGCCAATAGCGGCTGCTGCTGCTGCTATGCCGCTAGCATTCAGATGGCCATGAGCGATGGTGACCACTTACCAAATAATACGAAAATGAATAGACTCAACAAAGCACTTATTGCTAAGGCTTTTCAGGTATGTAACCAAACTCAGGCTGCACCCCGTGAGCTCTCCTAGTAGTCCGGCGAAACCAGAATAGCCTCTCGAGGCTGTCTACCTCTTGTGAACCAGCCCGGGTATGCACCACGAATCATGTTATTTCTACCGCAAAGCAGTAATGCTTTCTGGACTTCATGTACGAAAATGATAGTAAATTTTAGCAATTTAGCATAGAATTTTGGTATCTCTTTTACTATGTAATAAATAAATGTGATCCTCTTTTTTTTCGCGGATGCCATATTGAAATAGTGTACTCTATGTAGCTCACAGCTGTGACGAATCTATTATTGACGCCTCATCTCAAAACAAAATCCGTTAAAAGTTTAGTTTGTTGATAATGTTGTTATAATTGTTAGTAATAATGTCAATAAGTTAGGCATACTTGTACAAGCCCGAAATAAATAATAAATTGATATCATAATTTTTTCTTGTCTTAATTTATGGCTTAAGAAATTTTATTAAAGATGAAAAAAAAAGAACCTAAATTCCCTGAATCACACTCAATTAAAGACTGTATCCATCATTGTCAATAATATTAGAGGAATAAGAATACTAAAAATAACTTCAATCCCAAGACACTTTTAATTCAACTTAATAATAAAACTTATTAAAATCAAATACATACAAATTATACATTAACATAAATAATTATAATCGAGGTTATATTACGACAACAAAATTGCAGATTTAAATAACACTGATTAAAATACTTTTGTCACTGTCACTCGTCTTACCTTAGAAACTGCAGAGAGAGATGGCTTGCTTGTGAAACAACAAATATTCGAAGGTAATACATATAAATAGCTTAAGACTATGAATTAATCTATGTTTTATTCTATTATTAATTCTATTTCTGCCGCGAAACAGTCATGGTAGAGTCCAGCATCAAAGAGGGACAGCGGCATTATCATGACACGGTGTTTGAATACAACGAAATACTAAGATTCCTGGTCTGAACACTCACAGGTGGATATTTCCTTGTCCTGATTGGTGCCCAACAAGACTGGGCCCATTCGAAACGAGTAGGAGCGTTAAAATATCCATGGCCTCAGATATTATCAAATATTATTCTGATCATCAAAATCGAACACTCAAGTCTTTGGAGACCATCTCCTTTTTTTAATTGCTTACATGGGTGACCGAGCTCACGGTCCACCTGGTGTTAAGTGAGACATGAGTTCTAAGGACCTAGTTTTTACAATACAACAACTGCCCCATCTTTCAAATCAAAACGCTACTTCACGGCAGAAATAGGCGGTACATACCCGTGCGGACTCACAAGACGTCCTAGCCACCAGTAATTACGCAAATTATAATCTTTGCGGGTTTCTTCACATTCTTCCTTAAAACTAATATTTTAAAAAGTATCTAGAGAGATCTGCTGAAGTTTAATCTTATGAATAAACTAACTTCGGTAGGCTCGGTAGGCAGCGGCAAGGCTCTGCCCCTTGCATTGCTGAAGTCCATGGGCGACGGTAACCACTCACGATCAGGTGGGCCGTGTTCTCGTCTGCCTACAAGGGTAATAAAAAAAAAAAAAAACTTCCTAATCCAATAATACATTGTGCACCAAGGGAGAAGGAATGGAGAGAGGAAATGTCCAACTTTTCTCTCGCGGTGCACATACTATTTTTTCTCCTACCAGGCCAAAGGGTAGGGGGGTGGAGCCCCCCGTACTCAAAAAAAAACAATTTAACTGTTTTTTGATTTTTAAATAAACGACTACTAATTGAATAAGAACTATCTGATGAACTCATCTTTGTTTAATACTTCACTATTAAATTTTATTGCCTTTTGTTTATTTCACTTTTACACTAAACACAATATTGCAAATTACCCAGCACAACAATGGCGGAGAAATTCAGGTGCACGAGAGCAGACGCGCATGCGCACTTGTCAGTATCCAGGGAGGAAAAGTTACGCTTTATTCCCTGTACAGCGGGAGGAAAAGTTAGACTTTCTTCCCTGTACGGCGGGAGGAAAAGTTAGACTTGCTTCCCTGTATAGCGGGAGGAAAAGTTAGACTTTCTTCCCTGTACAGCGGGAGGAAAAGTTAGACTTTCTTCCCTGTATAGCGGGAGGAAAAGTTAGACTTTCTTCCCTGTACGGCGGGAGGAAAAGTTAGACTTGCTTCCCTGTATAGCGGGAGGAAAAGTTAGACTTTCTTCCCTGTACAGCGGGAGGAAAAGTTAGACTTGCTTCCCTGTATAGCGGGAGGAAAAGTTAGACTTTCTTCCCTGTACAGCGGGAGGAAAAGTTAGACTTGCTTCCCTGTACAGCGGGAGGAAAAGTTAGACTTTCTTCCCTGTACAGCGTTAGGAAAAATTAGACTTTCTTCCCTGTACAGCGGGAGGAAAAGTTAGACTTGCTTCCCTGTACAGCGGGAGGAAAAGTTAGACTTGCTTCCCTGTACAGCGGGAGGAAAAGTTAGACTTTCTTCCCTGTACAGCGTTAGGAAAAATTAGACTTTCTTCCCTGTACAGCGGGAGGAAAAGTTAGACTTTCTTCCCTGTATAGCGGGAGGAAAACCGAACTTTCGGCGTAGGTAGGAGAAAAAATCTATTTTTAACTTGATTTATTAATTTACTATGCTCGTTTGTGCGTAACGAAATTTTTGAGCGTCATTTTCAGCGACTTCAAGAAAAACAATTAATTTAAAAAATTTCACACGTATCAAAGACCGATGACAATTTATTAGTTAAATGACTTCGTTCTAATATATGTAAGAGTATATTATGAGTTCCGTTTTTTATTTAATATTTCATTAGCTTTCAAACTTCACTACCTATATCAACATTGTTAATCATTTATTAGGTTGTTTGTATATACTTTATTTATTAGGTTAAGTTCTATCTGTCATTAAGTTTGTAATCTGAATAGATTAATTATTAACACGTAAATTTATTTTGGTTAAAATATTTACCATTTTGACTGTCAGATAAATAAGAAAAAAAAACAATACAACAAAATTATCATCTTAAATCTACATACATATTTGGGTACCTGATTGCGTCTGGTCAATGGTCTATCAGGGTCAGCTGGTGACCCTCAATGAATCTAACAGATTAGATGACATTTACATACCGAAAACCTAGCATTAGTTCTATGCACAAAATAAATGTCTTCAACCACCTTCGGTTTATTCAGAGGCCTCTTTAAGTATCTTGTAACGAAAACCAACACACTATAGATGTGTGGTCTCCCCGTTTTCCAACGACGGGTACACGAGATCTAGATGTTTCAGTCGCGATATGAGGAAGTCTTCGGCTTGTGACGTCATCACTTCGTCAAAATGCGACTTCCAACCACCGGCTTCACCTGCAATAATGCTTTGAATTATGATTCAACTAGACTATCCATATCAAATTCAAGTTCTGCTCTAAGGTAATTCTGTTTTTGTCATCTTTCAGAATAACGTTGTCCAAGCCGTTGTTCGATCAGAAACTAACTTGGTTCAGCAATGGCTGAACTTTGCGTTGAAAATTTAAACTAAAAAAAGCTACATTTAGTGTGTAATTAAGCATTGAAATGGAAGGTAGTAGACTGAAGTCGTCGTGGCCTAAAGGATGAGACGTTCGGTGAATTCGTATCTAGCGATGCACTGGTGTTCTAATCTCACAGGCGGGTGCCAATTTTTTTAATGAAACTACGTACTTAACAAATGTTCACGACTGACTTCCACGGTGAAGGTATAATATCGTGTAATAAAAATCAAACCCGCAAAATTACAATTTGCGTAATTACTGGTGGTAGGAACTCTTGAGTCCGCACGGATAGGTACCACCACCCTGCCTATTTCTGCCGTGAAGCAGTAATGCGTTTCGGTTCGAAGGATGGGGCAGCCGTTGTAACTATACTGAGACCTTAGAACTCATATCTCAAGGTGGGTGGCGCATTTACGTTATACTACAACGTAAATGCGCCACCCACCTTGAGATGTCTATGGGCCCCAGTAACCACCAGATGGGCTGTGAGCTCGTCCACCCATCTAAACAATAAAAAAAGTATGTAAGTTAGCAGGGTCATAAGGGTAACAGGATAGTAGAGTTGTAGAGTTAATAGGGCTGTCGAGTAGTACAGTAGTGCGGTAGTAGGTAGTAGGGTAGTAGAAATTCGAAACACACCTTTCCTTACAAACTGCACTCCATTATTCTCTTCGCCGGTAGTATTGTTAACATTCTTGTTTTTTCTTAAGCTCTCAAAACTGAGATGCTCTGAGAGCGCCTTCACTTGGTCGTCCGTGTAGCACCTCTGCAAGAACTTACAGACTCGACGGATTTCCTTGGGCAGATCCTGAAAATGAGGTTACACAACTGAATTTCAATTTCGTAAGGCAGTCGGAACAAATAGAGTCTGTTTACATTACATTGGTTGTGGCTTCAGCATTGGTAGATCAAGGTAGGAAACCTGTAATGAAATGTAGAGAAAACATTTCTGTCACGTACCACCCGAGTCTGGTACTACCCCAACCCCGAGCTTCGAGCTTCCGGAGCGCCATGACAAATCACAGAATCCAACTTCATTAAGCGCCAAGTATTTATTTAGTAGACATTTTGAAATATGTCCACACTCTTGAGCAAAAGCAGCAACGATTTGCATTGTAAGGCAATTATGTATAGAAAATCTTACTTAGTTCAGTCAGCTTGATTCGGCTGTTGAGGTTGCAAGAGCAATAATTCCAAGAAATTTTAAGAATAAGCACACGTTTAGGATATAAATAATATTAGCGGCTAATAAAGTTTCTCAGGTCCATTACTTACCTTAAAGACTAGACCTTAAAGACCTATGTGTAAGAGGGGAGTGAGTGAAGAAATGGTTTATAATAGAGGAGTATGGAAGGAGAAAACACGTTGCGCCGACCCCAGGTGACTTGGAAAAAGGCAGGAGGAGAATGATGAGACTCAAGACTTACCTTAATCATATCTTCATAAAACACAAAGTGCATGTTCGGATGGTATCGATGGACCCAGGCCTCGTTTGTGTGTGCTACTATTGGGGTCCAAGGTACTGAAATAAATTAAAGTAAAATTTTCAATCGAAATAGTCTACGAGGTTAATTCCTAATCATAAATCGTAGTAACGCCACGTCGGGATCTAAGCCAAACAAAGTACCGTTTTACGAGTGAGGAGACTTTATAAGCTAACAACGTTGAACTTTGGGCCTAATTTTCCTAACTAACAAAAGTTAATTTAGACAAGCAGCTGCCAGTGGAAATGAGCACTGTTTCTCTTTCTCTCTCATACTTAAGGACACACTTAACGCTCTGACGTACTGGAAGATCACTTACACAGATCTCTTCTGAAGGCCTCCCAGAAGTCGTGAAACGTAGCCCTCATCAAATGCTTGCTGACCATTTTGTGTAGATAATAATATGAAACCACAACATCCCTTGGATCCCTGGCCACGTACACGACCTTTGCCGTCTCCAGCAGGGTCGGCGGCAGCAGGGATAATGGCAGGTGTGTCTTTATGAATCTCGGGGAAGGCATCTCCTCTATCATCTTCCAGCTAGGGTACCGGGCCGCTTCCGTAAGCCCTTGGAAGCTGCCCAAATTCATGAAATTCGCTTTTATGAACTCGTACGCTATTTCCGGTATCTGGCTGGTTGTTCTAAAAAAATATATATTCGGGTAATTCTGATAAGAAACATCGACTGACCTTTAAAAATAAAAAAGGGGTAATACTGACTCTAGCATTGGAAATCTTTCGTAAAGGGGTCGTTCTCTTGCAGCGTTATAATTCAAATTATTTTCCACCAGCCAAATTAATTCTTGCGTCCACGTTGTACCTGAAAAAGATCTTCATTTAGTTATTTCTCAACGATCTCATTAATATTAAGACCTCGGCTACATTATTTTAAATTTGGTACTGCTCGAAATACTATAATTAAAATAGTGGCCAATAAGCTAAAGTCAGCATCTTTTTTTTTTCGGGCCGGGTGCCGAACCTCCTTCGAGGTCTTAAGCCTAAGGAGCCTAAGGGGCGAGCGGGGTATGTGGAACTTGACGATCTGCAGATGTTTGGAGCTAGTCGCGGGCCCAAGAATATTTTAGGGCCTTACTGCACTAAATGACTCCCCTGCACTCTTACACCCGACGTCCGATCTCCGCTCAGGGTCACAACCCGGTCATTGTAAGGATGTTTCGGTGGCACCGCCCCGAAGACGCCCGACCGACGGGTCATCTAGACGATAGTCGACGACTAACAACACCAGTCTAGGCGATAAGGTGGCTCTACCAGGCCTCCCGGGCGATGCCGCTGGTTTTTCGGGATACACCGCTGGGTCAGAACCAGCCTACCAGTTCGGAACGCGATACACCGCCGACCGGCTTGCTTTTCCTTTGTAAGATGGTGGACTAACAGAATTCGGACGTCGTTGCCAGGACTCGCTGCCGAACACGATGGTCGGAAGCGACAGGTCCGGTTATATTTTTACAACGAGGACTCCGTTGTGTCCTCCTTACATTCACTGCAGTGGTGGCACTTCGGCGTAGCGGCTGAAATAGCCGTGTCCCGTGAGCACCTGCGTGACCCGGAAGGTGAGTCGTCCTCGACGGTCTGTTGGTCCTTGCCAGTCGGCGAGACCACTCTTCGACCACGGCACGCTGGGACTGAAGCTTCCGCGCGAACTTCCGCCGCGCTAGGACGCGGCTCCCCCGTGGAGCGGAGATCGCATCGCCACGCAAAATCGCTACCGCTTTCAGGTCCCCCAGGGAGGCACCCGGCGAGCTCGCACGCCCTGACCGCAATCGCGCGCTGCGGACGTCGCAACGCCGAGACGTTGTCGTGGGTCAGAGCGTGCACCACACGGGACCCCGTACAGTGCCATAAAGTCAGCACCTAGCCTTACCATGACATACTAAACCAAACTAACAAGATAGGTCACAAGTCGTCGCGGCCTAATGGATAACAAGCCTGATGTCTTGAGCGATGCCATTTTCTCGCTCTCTTTCTCTCTCCTTAGTTGATCGCTTCATTGCTGAAGGTCGTGTCTAGCTTGAAGTACCGATCGCCTAATACACCATGTCTCTCCATGTCTTCCTGTCCACGGTGGTTTTTATAGCCTCGGCCGGTAAGTGTCTTTACCAGATCTGACCAGCGGTATGTCCGTGTGATCTTCTCCCGTCAACACGACTAAATACCGTCAGTTTCTCTAGGTTATCAGAGTATTAACGAGCGCTGCGACCGAAGTACTCGAGAATACGCTGGAAGCGTTGAAGATAACCACGTTCAAATCCCGCGGCAGACACCAGTTATTCAAATAAAATACGTTAATAAATACGTAAATAAAGTTATACGATCGTGTAATAAAAACAAACCCGCAAATATTTAACTACTAAAAAGTAAAACAAATATTCAAAACATGCTTTATGTCAGAGGAAAATCGCTATAATTTATACACTCAAAAAAAGGTATTTATCTTCATTTATCATAAGTTGGTATCTTTGGGGATGTAGGGCACCCATCATATCGTGACGAACGCCTCGCGAATTCTTATATAAAAACCATCAGTCAAGCACTCTACATTATACCGATGACACAAAACATTTTATCTCATTTTCCTCTCACCGTAATCAGCCGGCTTATCTGTTACATCCACTGTTTTTGATAAAACACGTGTATATATAAATTATATCCATTTTACCTACTTATTATTTTGGCAATCGTAGCCATTATTTACAAAACTTAATTTCTCAATAATTACAATTACAAGCAACTTTTACGGTTTAATCTAGCGATTATTATTCAATGGTAATGTAAATAATATTTCAATGATTTCACGTACGTATACGGACTGATTTCTGAAATAAAAGGTTTTAATTTAATTCAATTAATTATTCCGACTTCTAGAATACCAGTTGTCGATGTCACATACCACTGAGCTATTGTTATTCGCCTAAATCTGAATATTGTGCTGACTAATCTGAATATCTAAAATATCTGAAATCTAAAATGACTATCTAATCTAAACGTAAGTCGATGTGTGTACGCTTCTTAAAAACTCCGAAACAACTCGACCGATTTCTATGGTATTTTTATTGCTTAGACGAGTGGATGAGCTCACGGCCCACCTGGTGTGAAGTGGTTACTGGAGCCCATAGACATCTACAACGTAATTTCCACCACCCACCTGGAGACATGAACTTTTGGTAACGTTCGGATCAAATATCGGCCGATAAAGCGAGCCAGTTTTAACTAGTTTTCTATGAAACATTTTCCTTGACATTTTTCTTCACGCAGACAGAACTAACAGTAGCTTTAGGTGTGACAGTTTATTAGAACTGATAAAATTGTCGTCAAATAACACCTCAATCGTAGGTGACCACAAGAACTGTAAAATATTCGAAGCGTGGAAAATAATAAACGAGAGAAGAAACCGTAAAGTGGTTTTGAAGTAGTGTCTCCAACCGATCCAGTCTTCGTCCGATCTCCATCCGCGGTCAAAATCCAGGCAGAGTAGGGGTTCCCGCAATAAACACTACAACAAGACTCGCGGTGCCACCTCTAGGACCTAGGTCGTTAAGGCGATAGTCGAAGACTCTACGTCGGCCGTCTCGGTGTGGCAGCCCGTCAAACAACCCCAGGCTTTTCCGCTGGTATCCCGGAATACCCCGCTGGACAAGAACCGGGCTACCAGGTCGGAACGCGATACACCACCAACCGGTTCCGAAAAACTGCTTCTATGTTCAGCGCGATAGAGTGCAGGTAGCGCGCCGCGCAGCCTCATCAGAAGGGGGAAATCGCCTTCCACAGCTTATACAGCCTGCTAGCCCTTAAAACAAGAGTTAAGGCATAGCTACTGTAGTGTAATTGTTGCAACAGTCGCTCAAGTTTAGGGACCACATAGTATGTACTTATCTTCTGATTATTAAAAAGATTATCATTTAAATAGACGATGATTTATTTAAATAAGATAAACGTGTACCTGATCTCGGGAAAGTGATGACCCAAATATCATCGGGTCTAACTTTCATGTTGTAGATGGCATCTGCGTGTTTCCTGAACGCGCCCGGCATCACGTAGCCCTTCTTACCGCATTTCACGAATGGTCTGGTGTAGCCTACAAAGAAAGTATCGATTTGTTAACTGACAAGAACAGCTCGAGTCCGCCGGTTTATTCTCGGGTTCAAGTCCAGGCTGAGGAGTTGAACGTCGACACAATCCCAGCCACAGTAATCGAGAATAATACGTTTGCATTTTTACCTATTATAACCACATATGGTTTTTAAATTTTTTAGTAATTACCTCACGGAAAGTAAAATGTACTGTGGAATAATTTTTTTGAATAACATATTAGGGATGATGACGATGATAAATTTTCGAATCGTTTCTTTCAATAATAATATATAACTAGAGTTTGCAAAATGAATAAAGTATGTATATATTGTGCCACTGGTGCTTTCCAGCACAGGAGTCATACCAAAGTACCTTCACCACTCCATCAAGCTTTACCCAAAGCAAGATTTACCCAAAAATATATTTTTCACCATGCAAAAAGCCTCAATTTTAAATACGTGCCGGATTGTTCGGAAGTTTTTGTAGGACGAAACATCAGACGAAACTAGAACTGAAAATGAACTCCACTTGGCGTAGGCCCGTGGTTTTTCAGCATTTACCGAAATTCATAAAAATTCGAGAATAAAAACTTCGTACAGAATAATAATAATAATAATGAAATTAATTATTGCCTTTCACACAGATTTAGATTATTACATATAAATATCGTATATATAAAACAAAGTCGGTTTTTTTTTCGAACATTTATAGAGAACTAACAACGCGAGAACGGCTGGACCGATTTTCATGGGTTTTAATTTTTTGTATTCGTCGAATAGCAGAATACAGTAGATTGGGGGGAATAGAGACTAGAGTTAGAATAGGGACAAATATGGAATGTCACAATACTTTTGTTGAGTTGTTAGATTTAACTTTGTTGAACTGAAAATGGCTTTTATTTAGTGTTTAAAATACTAAATAGTTTAAGAAAGTCATCAAAGTTTTGTAACTCATTAGATAATATTAAAAAGTTAATTACCTACCTAACTTACAACTAAATAGTGCCAGCCCTATCGAAAAACCCTATTGTTCCCATACGTAACCTGATTCACCCCAAAGCCAAGGTGAATCGGGGTAAGCTACTTTTTTTAGTTTTTGTGTATATTTTGTAATGAACTATGTATAATAACTCATCGTATATAAAAATTGAAGCCTCTGGAACCATTTTCATCTCAATTTTATTGGTATTACCCTAAAAAAAACCATTAACAATTTTGTGTTGGATTTGGAAAGGGTCCCGATTCCCCCGATCTACGATAACTATTAAAAATATAGGATATTTTATGAAAAAAAAAATAAAAGAAAAAAAAAATCCATATATAAAATGTTCACAGATTTCGTAGCTGTCAAACATTTAATGTTTATCCCGTTGATACGGTAACTCTCCCCTCAGCACGTATTTAAATAAAGGTTTCGAATCGACAAGATATCCACAATATTCGGTTATTGGCGTATTTTACATTTAAAACATTTACAATAATGTCAGTAATGAAAAAGGATTGACATACATGTATTTTGGCTGTCAAACATTTATGCTGAGGGAGTTCATATAGAGTCCCTTCTTTATTTCGCCGTAAAGTCGTGTTTCATGTAATTAACACCACAGTTAAAACAACAGAAATTTTATTGTTGTAGCGGCATAAACAATTCTAAATTATTATATTAGTAATTAAACAATTAATTTTACGTTTAAAATTTTCGGCGGTAAAAATGTCCCCTGTCACAGACTATATTCTTTTTTCCACCTCTCGTGCGTTCCGGCTTACGCATCATAAAAAGATGCGTTCTTAAACGCCACAATGCGTTCGTTCAGAAATTTATTTTATGTAAACTAAGGCAAAGATATCAATCTACTTGGATGAGTTTATTAAAAAACCAAAAAAAATGTCAAAACAATTGCTCTCACTCAATCATTAAAGATTATTCCGTCACTCCAGTCAGACTCAGTATCTATATATATAACTGAATAGCTGTTCGTTTGTCTCGCTATAACTCAAGAATGGCGAAATACTAAAAACGACAATTTAATTTTCAATACAAAGTGTTTCTAGCTGTGACCAATGATTTTTTATACAACAGATATGTTATCTTCATAGTAACTGACTCTTCAAATCTGATCGCACCATATATATATACATACCTACCGATATAGTGCACACACATGTTGACAAGTAACATTAATGAAAATCTTTTGTAGATGGGATAAGCACGTGAGTAAAAAAGATAGCTATAATTGGAACGATTGCACTTGTTATATTATTATTGCATTTGTTTAGACGCGACTAAAGACGAAACGTCCCAATTGGCCTGTTTTCGAGTCTTCACTTGACGTGCGCTTGAAACATATCTGCTTCTTTTTACATATAAAATATCATTGGCTGTGATACATTTAAATTATTTTATTACTTGGTTGTCAAATATTTATAGGTACGTTCAGAAATTTCTTTGTTTTATAGCTGTAGTATAAGTTCCGATAACTTTGATCAGTTTTAAAAACATGTTTCAGAAATAATAAAAGTGTAAAAGTGCCAGTTGGTTGCCGAAAAAAGAAAAAAGAAAAAAAAAAATATATAAACCTAAAAAATAATAATCTCTCATTAATTTGTCAGTAGGCGAAAACTTTATTCACTGTTATATTGTTTTACAATGCCAAGGAGTAGATGACCAGCGTAACGTCTGGTGGAATTTACTTCCTTGATGCTCCCGGGGGGTTTGGAAAAACGTTCTTAATTTCACTACTGTTGACAATGATCAGATTGCAAAATTAATTAGCCCTAGCGTTGGCTTGATCAGGAATAGCTGCAACATTGGTAAAAGGTAAACGAACTGCACATTCTGCCTTGAAATTACCACTAAGCATGCAAATCAACGAAGCACCAGTTTACAACATCGGCAAAACAAATGTACGATGACTAGGTCACTGGAGGCACTGGAAAGAAAGTAAAAGATATTTTTTTGGCTAAAGAGCTGATGATTCTGTTGTCAGGTAATTTTCATCAGACTCTTCCAATCGTTCCCCGATCAACTGTTGCTGACGAACTAAAGGCATTTGTGGCGGCATGTGAAAATACTCCAATTAACAACTTAAACGATCGTCTGGTGTAGTGGTAAGTGACATGGTCACTACACAAGGGGGTCGCGGGTTCGAATCCCGCCAAGGGAAGATATTTGTATGATAAATATAAGTGTCTTTTCTATGGATGTATATTAAATATATGTACGTGTATAATAAAAATCTTACATTTATTTCCGTTATCTGGTACCTGTAACACAAGTTCTTTACGAACTTAACACGGGACCAGTTAACGTGGCGTGATTGTTACTAAATATTTATTTATTTATTTATTATTATTTAATATGCTCGTATTTTTGCTATAAGATCAAACTGCGATTATGTTTTCGAAGCAGTTATTAGATATTGGAAATGATATAGTCGCAGTTGATATCTCGACCGGATTAATTTATACTACCCATTTTTATACCCATTTTTACGCTACCCATATTTGTCTCTTTACCGACTCAAAAGAGGGACTTACTTATTCGGCATGTTTTTACAAACATAGAAAGACAGTTCAGAAACCATAATTGGCAGTTTTTTTTGCCTACCTATTCGCTGAGAGCCTAAGAGGGTATTCTAGCTAAATTGACAGAGTGAATTGGCAGCCAAAAAAAAAGATGTCAGTGATGATGATCTCAACCGACCAGCAGAACTTTCTTCCAGGAGATTTGTTTTCACTCAAATGAGTTGACACAGTTGCAAAACAGGGTGACGTTGGCAACTATCCCACAGAGTTTTTAAATATCCTGGATTTGTCGGAACTACCACCTCACAAATTTCAATTAAAAGTAGGATCAGTTGTGATTATACTGCCTAACAATAATGAACCTCGACTGTGCAATGGAACGAGACTGGCTGTGAAAAAGCTAATGAATAACGTCATCGAGGTCAAGATCATCAAGGGAACACACAAAGGAGAGGATATCTTGACTCCCGGTATACCACAGATTAAATATTCGATTTTAAGCGCCTACAATTTCCCGTGCGTCGGGCCTTTGCGATGACCATATCCACTTCGATAAAGCGGCACGACACAAGAACCCCCTCATCGTGGCCGCCGGTAACTACATTCCCGATCCTGCGGACAGAATGGAAAGCAGTCGACGTCACCCCAAACACGTCATTTCGGATCCTCCCGATCCACTAACGGTGTTTTTAGGTACCTCAAGCACCGGTCATCGTTCTCGTCGAACCCGTCGCTTGTGACGAAGGGCTCGACGAGTAAATTAACCTTCAGACACAGCCCACTGAGTTTCTCGCCGGATCTTCTCAGTGGGTCGCGTTTCCGATCCGGTGGTAGATTCTGCGAAGCACGGCTCTGGTTAGGGTTTGAGCCCCGTGAGCTCACCTACTAGTTAAAGTTACGCTGAAATAGCCTCTCAAGTCTCTCAGCTAGGTAGAAAAAAAAAAATACCATAAATAAATCGCAAGACCAATCGCTGCAAGTTTGTGGAATCAACTTGGGGTTTCCCTATTTCGCCCATATACGTCGCATGTTCGCGAGTCGGAAAACCATCATCTTTATATATTTACGCAAAAAAATATAGTATATCTGTTTTGATAGCTTTAAATTAATTAAGTGTGTTACTGTGTTGCATTTAATAATGTAGATAGAAAATTTTTATTAAATTTTGACCACATTTTATACAAAATATATGTAGGTGATACAAAGTTCACCGTGTCATCTAGTAATAAATAAAAGAAAAAAGATAAGCATGGCAATAGGTGGTGACTCAGTTGATGCTGTTTATTTTCCGATTGACATTAGAATAAGAAACAAATAGAAAAGATTCGTTATTCAAAATTATGCTCGTGCTACGTCATTGGTTAGAATATTTGAAAATATGCCGTGACGTCATCAACGTGAAACCATATTTGTACATTTTAGTGGGAAATTTAAAAGCTTTATTAATATAACTACGATCAAGATTTCGATTCATTATAATTTACTTATAATATTATTCCTTTTTTTTTGTTATTGGCATGAAAATATATTGGTAATATTAAATCTCGTCCATAGCGGCAGAACTAAAAATAATTTGAAACAAAATTTATATTTAACTGTTTTGGATTTACATACTATATATACATATATTTATTGAAATATTCTAAAAAATCCAATTGATTAGGCGTAGCATAACTAGCTTTTTTTCCTTTTTAAGTATATGTAAATCTAGAACGTATTTAAAAGCAGGTTAATGCTTTTCGTCCTCTTTGATATGTGCGTGGATGTTTTAAAAATAAATTACACTCATTAACAATATTCGTCCCAAATTTACGAATTTTTAAACATGAAACATATGGCAATGATAAAAGTACACATGTACTTACAAAACATTATTATTTTATCAAAATTATACAAAAGGTATGAGCAGATATGAAATAATTGCTCACGTAATCAACAATAAAACGTATTTATTATGATTTATCATGCTTAATATCAAAGAATACCGGCGTAACTTCCTGAAGTCAGTCAGTGAATAGCCAATATTTTTTGTCGAATAGACAACACATATATTTGGATATTTCTGGAAGTTTATTATTTATTACAAATACCGTCTCATCAATAGCACGTTTTCAACGAAAATCAATTCAAATCAGGCTTTGTTTTTTTATTGCTTACATGCGGGGACGAACTCACGGCCCACCCAGTGTTAAGTGGTAACCCGAGCCCATACAGAACGTCAATTAACTGACTGACAACAACAACGTCAATGCCACCATCGACCTTGACACATGAGTTCGAAGTCTTACAGTACAACGGCTGCCTCACCCTTCAAACCGAAACGAATTACAGCTTCACGGCCAAAATAGGTAGGGCCATGGTACCTATTTCAAACTGACAACCTATAAATTCCATAGTAAATTCGAATCTACACTAGCGCCCCTCGCGTGAGAGCAGTATTGAACTAAGCAAGCGACATTTAATGGCTTTTTTGACATTTAATGTATGATATGACGTTTGAAGAGAAAACTTCGAAAATATTTTGTGACAATCCGTCGCCACCGGACTTGAGATATGAGACCATAATGTCATTTGTATGCTATCCCATACGATCGAAATCTGAAAATAGGTTTGAATCTTGAAATGAGACATTACCATTATTAAAATCACTTTTGCGGTTTTAATCTGTGTGTGTTTTACGGATACAATCGGATACAATTTTCCGGAGCCCACACGACTGAACTGTTGACTGAGTATACAATAAAAAACCCAAAATTAAACTGTAAAATAAGGTTTTTAATTAATTCTACGTCACGCGAAAACCGAACAGAATACAATAGTGTTTTAGAATTGTATATTTCACTAAGAGCTAGTGAAATTTAGTATAATCGTAACTTGAGTCAACGATTTCGAACTTCAATATTGGTTCTATGAATAAATTAAGTTTTATCTGTCTAATTTAGAATTGGAATTAATACACTTAAAAACAATTAATAATAGGTATTTAGAAGCTTGTCCTGTTGCAATGAGAAGCTGCGTTTGAAACTTCGTTAAGTAAGCTACGAAAATGTTTTTTTTTTATAATTAATCGTACACCAAGCGTGATTACCGTATCTAATAAACACCAAATAACAATGGTGACCCAAATAACCCACTTCAAAACGTAGTACCTTCAATTTATTGACATCTCATGGTCACCGATGCTTAGGAAATAGGCATTATCAGCTGATGAGTATTTTCAGAGCTCATGCGTAGGAGGACGTGCACTCCGTAAGCACCTAGAGAGGGTTCATAGAGGGACCGGGTGAGACTTAGCAAAATGTTGCCTTCGTGGCGAAACCTTTGCTGCGGTCACGCGCATGCGCGGCAAAAAAATCCAGGAGGCCATGATCCCCGCCATAAGAAAAAAAGATTGTACATTTTTACAAACAATAGGTAAACATTTTATTATTTTATTTAGAGAGCTTAAACCTTAAAATTCATTGCCAACAAACGCAAAGATTTTAGAATAGGTCGGATAAATTTTACTCCTATGACGGGATCTTCTCAAAAATAACGGTTTTTTTACAATAAAATCATTTTGTCTTACACTATTTTTAATTCAAATTTATTAAAATTGTTTTCAATTTTTTAGTTGGATTTTCTATAAAAGCGTATTTTTTTAGTTTTATTAAACTATTATTTAATTTTCATTTTTTAGTTGTTGAATTCCAAATTTTCAATATTTTTTTCAATTTTTCAAAATTTTCATCTAAATCACTCGGTAACTTATCCGAGAAATAGGTGATCGGCGCGCCTGGTAGTTTCCCTTCTTGGTCTTGACGCAGACACTCCGGGTCTCAGGAAAGCAAAAAATCGCTAATCCTTATTATCCTAGTAAGGACAACGGAGCAAACTGTTTAAAATATTGAATTGTCGATTGTCCTTAACCAAACCATGCCAAATTTCGAGTTAATCCAACGTTTTGAAGGGGGTCAAAATCATNAGAAATAGGTGATCGGCGCGCCTGGTAGTTTCCCTTCTTGGTCTTGACGCAGACACTCCGGGTCTCAGGAAAGCAAAAAATCGCTAATCCTTATTATCCTAGTAAGGACAACGGAGCAAACTGTTTAAAATATTGAATTGTCGATTGTCCTTAACCAAACCATGCCAAATTTCGAGTTAATCCAACGTTTTGAAGGGGGTCAAAATCATGTTCAAAGATTCCGTTACATACTAACAACATACGTATGAAGATAATAAAAGCGTATTAAAAACCCTCAAGACACATACCGTACATAAAATACACGAAAGACCAAAGTCTTTCCGCAGAGCTAGAGTATCCAAATGATCTGTGAGATCAGAATTTCCGATATGCTCTCGTCTGTACATCTAAATGGTACTTGGTAACTCCAAACTGGAGTTGGGAGCAGTACTCCTTAGCAGTGCCTTTGTTTTTTATAGCGCAAAGCTCAATTGTTTTCGGCACAACGGCTATTCAGACCAGATCGCATGATACCAGCCGGTACCAGACTTTCGACCTATTAAGTTATTTAGCTCCAGTCACTCACTCTTAACCTGAATATGCTACACATTAAAGAAAAAACCGTACATTAAAAAACAATTTACACATTTCAACTGACCTAATAAGCACCTTTTTATTATTTTATCCTCGTCTGCCGTGACGTCTTCTATGTCGTATGGCAGAACGATTTGAGGACCCATCTTGGCTGGCATTCGCGTTATGCCAACGCACGCGCTCAACTGATAATAGTAAACTAACTAAGCAAGACTTCAATGTATATCTATTGATAACGTTTGATCCATACGCGCGAACTATCGCAGTATTTAATGCAAACTTCTAGATAAATTTCGGTGTGGACCGGTTAGTAACACTTGCCGTATCGGCGACAAAGTTTCGCGTACGGTTTTAAAGAATAGGACCAACGTTGTGCGAATACGATTGAGAGTTTAATGTTATATTATGGTAGGCGGCGGTGTAACCACTGCACATTAGGTAAACAGGTTTTCTTTATTGTTGTTGCACTAAATGAGCGAACAAGCTCGTGATCCACATTGTATTGAGTGCTTACTAGCGCCTGGGTACAGCACATGAATGCCGCTATCCCGATAATTTAGATGCAAGACCGTGTCTCACATAGATACCCTACAAATCATTCCATCACGTCTTTGCAGGTATAGCCGTCGGAGCACCGAGGTACGCGAGGAACGTAGATGTTTACGATGACCTACAATTAGAATCGATACGTCAATATCTGAAGTCAGCGTCAGAGCGCAACTTCGAGAAAACGGCGCGAAACGATAATCCTCTTAACCCTCTTACCCAATCCTGAGGACAAAATAGTAAACAGTCCACGATCCACTTTCGGTGCTTTTAGGCATTCCTAGCACCGGTCACATGCGACGAAGGGTTCGTCGTGAAAGTTAACCCACAGACACAGCCCACTGAACTTCTCGCCGGATCTTTTCAATGGTTCGCGATTCCGATCCCGTGATAGATTCAACAAAACACTGGTCTTTCTAGGTCTAGTGTTAACAAGTCGAAAGTTTGAGCCCCTTAAAGTGAAGCCAAGAAAACCCCCCAAGGTTAATAGCACAGATAGGCAAAAAAAGGTCAAATCCTTCAAACCAGAACGCATGTCCACTTCACGGAACAAAGAGGTATAACGGTGGCATTGTCGTTGTCGGTCAAAATTTATTAATATAGTAAGCCACATTAGATACGTACATATGTATGTATTTTCTTAAGGAAATTGCACGTCATTACGGTTCCTCCCGATCCATTAACGGTGCTTTTAGGTACCACAAGCACCGGTCACCGCCCTCGTCGAACCCGTCGCTTGCGACGAAGGGCTCTACGAGCGAATTAACCAATAGACACAGCCCACTGAGTTTCTCGCCGGATCTTCTCAGTGGGTCGCGTTTCCGATCCGGTGGTAGATTCTGCGAAGCACTGCTCTTGCTAGGGCCAGTGTTAGCAACACTCCGGTTTGGGTCACGTGAGCTCACCTACTAGTTAAGGTTACGCTGAAATAGCCTCCCAAGGCTATCAGATTAGGTAGGAAAAAAAAAAGGAAATTGATACTCGTTTCGGGATCTGAAGTCCTGTGTCTGTGTGTAGTCGTATCACTCGATACGTCTAATTAGGGTATCTTACGCGTTACGTCGTAAATGAATCCCACAACCATAACGATTTTCTCGGGCAAGTTTATCCATGTAAATTTCTTCATTCTTATCAACTTCTTCGTTTATCATACAATCTCTGTCTCATATTTTATGAGAAACGCTTCTGATTCAGGCCGTATAAAAAAACCTAAAACTTCGCGTCAGATACTTAGAAGTAAACATAGACAATAAAAAATTAATAAATCATACAAGTCTTTATTTTTTATAGACAAATTGATTATATTTTATCAATTAGTGGTTTCTGAAAATTCTCAAAATCCTTCATTAAAAATAAAATATATGATAGGTAATATGTCACTGCCATCTACAGGAGCAATGAGAAAGTAATCGAAGCGATGTCATCTAGTGGCCGACGCCCGTAAATATTTTTGTTGAGTGCTCGAGTTGCTTATCTATAACTAGTTTTTGTGATTATCTATGTTCGACTCCATTCGACCGATGACATCTCGACTCTACCGAAGCACACCACCCGAATTGAGCTGACATTTGACGAGTAGTTGCGATNCACTGCCATCTACAGGAGCAATGAGAAAGTAATCGAAGCGATGTCATCTAGTGGCCGACGCCCGTAAATATTTTTGTTGAGTGCTCGAGTTGCTTATCTATAACTAGTTTTTGTGATTATCTATGTTCGACTCCATTCGACCGATGACATCTCGACTCTACCGAAGCACACCACCCGAATTGAGCTGACATTTGACGAGTAGTTGCGATCAGATCAGATCCGCTCTTTATCTAAGCCATTGCGATCAAACTTCACACTTGTCATTGCTTAATGGATACTTATTTAGTTTCATGGACGTATAATATAGATAGTGCGCTACTGATAATTTAATTTTAAAAAAAAAACTATAGAGTACCTATTATTGATCGCGTACCGCTCCAGGCTTCGAGTGCAATTATCGTAAAATTTCGAATTGCGATAAGTACGATAAGTAACGTTGAATCACCACCGAAAGTAGTCCACTTGCCCGTCATTTATCTCAATAGTGCTATTGACATTTTCGTACGTATTATCTCCAGTCTGTATTGTCATTTGGTGCAGCTGTATTTGATGAAGGTTTCTCAGTGCAAGCCTGAAGGGTGTATGTACCCACGGCAATATATGAAAATAATGTAGGATTTTTTTAACTTTTTGAAGTCGTCGTTGCCTAATATAAGACGTCCGGTGTATTCGTGTTGAGCGATGCACCGGTGTTCGAATCTCAAGCGGGTACCAATTTTTCTAATGAAATACGTACTTAACAAATATTCACGATTGACTTCCACGGTGAAGGAATAACATCGTCTAATAAAAATCAGAGCCGCAAAATTATGATTTGGGTAATTACTGGTGGTAGGACCTCTTGTGAGTCCGTGCGGGTGGGTACCACCACCCTGCCGTGAAGCAGTAATGTGCTTCGGTTTGAAGGGTGGAGCAGCCGTTGTAATTATACATGAGACCTTAGAACTTATATCACAAGGTGGGTGTCGCATTTTTGTTGTGGATGTCTATGGGCTCCAGTAACCACTTAACACCAGGTGGGCTGTGAGCTCGTCCACCCATCTAAGCATTAAAAAAAAACTCGCGGTTATCTAGATTGTAAGCATATATACATACATCTTACCACGATTTTTAGTTTTAATTCTCTTCTCTTATTCCATTCGGTTCTTCTCTAGTTCCTATTGTAATAAGTTAAAAGTCATCACTGTGATACGAACCGCCATTTTGGACACTGAAAACCCGGGACACTAAAAGCCCGGGTAATCTAAACATCAACAACACCAGATTGATGTTGTTGTTGTTGCTGTTGTAGCCCTAGGTAGCCTCACAAATTATCTCCACTTCACCCTGTCTTACGCTTTCTCTTTATCACTCCACCACGGCGTGTCGCCCAGTAACCCATGTATGAATAAAAAAATCTCAACGCAATTCTTTCTATATTTTTATATTTATATATTTTCTTTTCTATATTTCAACGCATTTTTTTTGCACGTGAAGTATTTGATTAAAACATAAGATGTTTTGGAACAAGTACATGAAGTACTCTTTGTGATTGTGTGAAGAGCATTTGAATTTAATAGCAAACAAAGGTAAATATTGATTCAAGCACTTGTCAATTTTGAAATACGTAGGTACACATGGATTAAGTTAACTTAACTTAAACATATCGGAAGGAAGATTTAAGATGAACAAATAAATAAACAGCGGAAGACGTAACGTAGGACACACCCTGGCTAGATGGTGCGATGACCTCTGCACGGTGGCCGGCAAGAAGTGGATGAGGAGAGCCGTAGACCGGGCTCAGTGGTGTGGATTAGGAGAGGCCTATGTCCAGCAGTGGACGACTGTGGGCTGTTGATGATGATTGATGATAATGAAATAATAAATTTAATACACTAAATTGATCATAATAACATAGTTTTTTTCCTAAATCTGGTGAGTCGTGGACCACAGAACTCTGTCACCAGACTTCTCTATTTGTAGACGCTTACTTGTTTTCCCTAATTCTCCCTCGTCAGTTCCAAAGCCATGTTGTGTGAGGACCCGAAATGAAATAATTTAGCACTAATAGAAATAATTTATGTAAGTGTATAAATACGTTCGAGATTTTTAATAGAGTCATATCAATGGTACCACTACTACAAGTCCACGTTTCTGCGAATGGTCCCCATTTTCGGACCATACATGATTCGAAAAAAATTTAAATATTAAAACCGAATACAGAGATACGATTTTTTTTTTAAATTGCTCACAAATGACAGTTGACAGAAGCGGCATCTGTCAGTTACTGTAATCGCTTAAATCAAATTTTGTATACTTCAATTCTAGCTTTTTTTTATTGCTTAGATGGGTGGACGAGCTCACAGCCCACCTGGTGTTAAGTGGTTACTGGAGCCCATAGACATCTACAACGTAAATGCGCCACCCACCTTGAGATAAAAGTTCTAAGGTCTCACTCGGTATAGTTACAACGGCTGCCCTACCCTTCAAACCGAAACGCATTACTGCTTCACGACACAATTAGGCAGGGTGGTGGTACCTACCCGTGCGGACTCACAAGAGGTACTACCTCCAGTAAAAAAGCTCGCCAAATTGAATTTTAATCACCAAAACGCTATAAATTAAACTTCCAATTAGAACTTCAACTAAACGAAACCTAAATCTTTTCTCTAGCTATGATCGTATCAAAGCTTTACCAAACTTTCCGATTCCAATACTAGTTCGCGTCGGTACAGAACCGGTTTGAGCCGGTTAAATTTAAATAAACTTATTAAGAACTTCTTGCCAGGCTTGTCTGCAGAAAACTTCGCGGACTGAACCAATTTACTCGCAAGCACCCCGATTTTCACGGTAAGCCACTCAAAACTTAACTTCGACAAACATTGCGGTTATAAATCAAAGGAAGATAGCTCTTGTTGTGCTAAGAATAAAGTTAATACTGTCAGCAACGGATATTTGTAGCTTAAAGAGTCTCGAGGAAGCCCAGTAGAAGTTAAAATGACTAATTACTATACCCCCCCGCCTCTGTTGGTGATGCCAGACGAAA